TCCTATGGTTTTTAATAATTAAACCCGCAGTCCTCATCATTAGTCAGCCCCGAACCGGTACAGAGGAGAGAAAAGAAGAAAGAAAAGCCCAGCGCCCCGCACGACCCTGCCTCTTCGATCCCAGCGCCACCTCCATCCCGCCGCCACCTCCTGCCCTGCGCAGCCCGCCCCACACCTCGTCGACCGGGATCGCGTCCCTCCCCAAATGGCGGCGATGATGGAGGGCGCCGCCCACCTCCTGACCGACAGATTCGCGGGCTGCCCCCCTCCCTGTGCCGGGCCGAGCATCGGCTTGGAGGCCCCTTGGGGCTGCCGTCGGTGCGGGAGTCCCGCGCGGCCGTGCGGGCTGGGGTGGTGGAGGCTCCGCCGAGCCATCGACGGGCAGGGAGACGAGCTCCTGTTGAGGCGGCGGGGCTTGGTGCGGGCTGGTCTTCCGGATCGAGCCCTTCCTCATCTTTCTCTCGTTCGCTTGGCTCCTTCCCTCACAATTGGTGCCCGGGCGTCGCCATCGCCATGGATATGCTGCACAGCGCGGACGCCTGCCTCTCCCCCAGGAGGGCCATGTTGCCTCAGGTGCACCCGAGGGGAGGGGGAGGTGGGTGGAGCGCCCGCATCAGCGTGTCGTGAACCCCCTGCATGATGTTGAACACCTCAGGCAAAAGAAGATGATTGTGTTTCCGTGGTTAGGGCTGCTGTCGTCGTGCTTCATCAGCATCGTCATTGCAGGGTTCATTTTGTACAAGTACGATCTTGGGAGTAAGGAAGCAGAGATACCTCTTCAATCCCAAAATTTATGTTGTTTCGGGAATTACCATGACAAGCAAGCACCGAATCTTTCTTGGCTATCTATAAAATTTGTTGCGACCGTACATGGCTTCTGAAGTGACGAGTAACAGTAATCATGTCAGGTTAATCCAAGCTCAATCCGTTGGTATGCCGCATGGCTGGATTGCTTGCTTTGCCATGTACTGGAGGCGCTCAATGAAATCCGTCAGTTTGCTCTTGGTCTTGGAGGATTACGGAAGAGGATATGTAGATCCTTCCAATCCCTAGCGATGTACTAGAAGTTATAAATGGTGGTGAGTATCAGGCATCATTTTTTTTCTGAATCTAGGCAATCAAATATATCCTCTTCTCCGGCCCAGTGATTCGTAGATGATTCATAGTAAAGTGTCAGAGCGAGGTGATTCTAGCATTTGCCTCTTCTGTGGAAACTTTTAGGGACTACATATCATTCAACAAAGGCAGACCTTCTGACTGCTTCTGTGAATTTGTGTTTAACAGAACATTAGGTTTCTAAATTGTGCAGATGTGTGCAGAGAAACTATATATAGCCAATAAAATTGACAGAGGAAGGCTTAGGTGCTAACCGTTAGGTGAAGTAAGGTTGGTTTCCTATCTTATGTGGTTTGTCGAAAAGAAAGGGCTTCCACCACCATGAATATTCCACAAAAAACAGACTTCATACTTGGTAATACATGAAGCTGCAGTCTTTATAGATATCCTGTATAGATCAAGGATATACATTATCATCTGCATTCATCTGGTGTTTTTTTTATGACAGATGGTTGTGGCTGAAACCGCACATCTTCATTGAGATTTAGATGGACATGATAAGAGTGTCGAGAAAGCATAGTATTCCAGATCATAAGCCTTTTTCTACAATAATGGACTCAAAAATGAAAGAAAAACATGGGCCTGAATGTCTATACATGAAATAATCAAATAATTCTATACCATGGCTTACTGATGCAAATATGTTGTCTACTAGGTAGTTATGCAAACATCTATTCCACCTAGGTGCTTACTTATACACACTTGTACTTTCTGTTGTTGTAGTTAATTGAAAATGTTTGTTATTTAATTTGGTTTCTGAAGATGCTATCATTGCAGTGTTAATTAGATTCTCATTATGAACCTGTGTTCACATTTTAATGTTTTCTGACTCTGACAGATTGTGTTTGAGAATAATTTGATGAACCACCATGTCGCCCTTCAATCTGGTTTGATGGGAAAGTAAATTACATCGCTTGAGCGGGTCAACATAGCCTACAGGTTAAGTGGATGCTATCACTTTATATGATCTTTTATTTATTCCCTTTCATTCTACCATTGCTTAACTTTATTTCATAAACTGTTGTGGCTATGTATGCAGGATACATTTATAGAGCTGAAATTTCAGTGAATCAATAAGTAATTAACTATGCTTCAAGTAAGGAAGTTATTTGGTATAACTTTTTTGAGGACTAAATTACTAGCTTAATGTTTGGAAGTTATTAAGCCGCACATACGGCATGTGTGTACATGAAGACCTGATGCATCAAAGCTCGGTGTGGACACACCTTCTTAGAGGACATGTTTGTCTACAAATTATCCGAGCTTCAATTTCCAGAATAAAACACATGTTTTTATTTATTATGGTTTCTTCTCTTACATAACCAAACATTGTGCAAATGTTGATTTTTCATTTCCTTCCAACGCCATCAAATCCCAGTCTTATCTAATTTGAAATGGCTCCAGCGTGTGTGATGTATCACTCCCCTCAGTTTTTTGGAGGAACATGGTGCTATTTGGTGTTTTTGGTTGTGGAAAAAATGTCATTAGTCAGGCACTTTCTAAGGTGGTCAGCTGACTGCTCTGTTGTCATGGATGTGGGAAAATCTTTGTATATAGTATTTTCTTGGTACCATCTCTATACCGTCTATTAAGTTTGAAAATGCTCGCGGTACTCCAATTCTGAAGCTCTGGTTTATGTGGGATGTGGGGAAAAAGGAAATGAGATGTCTGATGTTCTCATATATGGATTTCCCCCAATTGACAATGACATTGCCTGACATGATGTGAACAATGGAGCCGCTTACATTCCATGGCAAGCTCACCATGGTCACTTTCTTACTCCAGATGGGTGGGAGGGAACAGGGAGGAAGAGGGAGCCACCCAAGGTCCGGTTGATATGGCGGTGTGGGCGAAGGACACGATGGTGCGGCCGCTAGAAGCGCTATTCTTCCTGCCCTCATCCTCCGAGAACGACGGGGACAAGGGAGGAGGCATCGGCTCTATCCTAACAGAGGGGAAGAAGAATGGGAAACGGGAAGAAAGATCGAGTTCATGCGTGTTCTCTGTGTGTGTGTCGGTCAAGTTTTCAATGAGCCAAGCCCAAAAAATAGTGCAAAACAAATTACAAATGAAATATTATATTCCAAAAAATGTTCATCACTGTAAAAATGATTCCATTTAAAAAATATTCTTGAAATAAAAAAACACCTTCTCAAAACAAAATAAATATTCATGTTTTTCTGAATAACAAAAAATAAAATTAATTAAAGACTATTTCATACCAAAAAGAATCACCCGGTGTAAAGTTATATTTAATATTTCGCCCGGTGCAACGCACGAGCATTTGTACTAGTAGAATGAGCATTTGTACTAGTAGAATGATTATACTCCCATTGCAACGCCACAACGCACCGGCAATTGTATAGTGTACTAAAAATAGCGTAGCATGGATGGGTTACGTCTTCCTGTTTTGAAATGCCTACAACGTTTCATGGATAGATGAGGATTAGGAAAGTTGTATGAAGAAAGATTGAGTGGACTAAATAACATAAAAATACGAGCACTGCTATGCACATGATGATTCCACGCACGACAACGTTCGTACACCATCGGAGACAACGTTCGTACACCATCGGATTACCTAGTTCCTTTAATATGTGTGATTTGTAATCTCGTCGGGCACAAATCGTGTGTTAGCAATCGTGTGCAGAGCACTTGCATAAAAATACCACATTTGGGATTTGGGGCTGTGGTTCCAGAGAACTAACATTTTTTTTCGAAATTCCCGAAACTTTCATGAATAATATAATAGCATGAAACAATAAAAAATTATACATACGTTTGAGACGTATCACTCGCCCCGTGTCGCCAGAGCAGCAGGGATCGCCCGGGTTCAGTAAGACGAGAGATCCATCGATCGGGTTCAATAAGTGATGGACTCGCTCGGGTTCTGCCCAAAAAACGCCATGCAGATGCGCCTCTGGCCCGCTCAGGACGTAAATCCCATTTTTGGTCATAGAACTAGGTGTCCACCACATCCATGATGACACATGTTTTTTTCTCTGTCAATTATCATCATGAAAGTGTCATTTTCATGATAGAAAATATTTTCGTTCGGGCCACAATATCATGGATGTGCCATTTTCTTGCAGTGGGGGTGTTTGCAAAAAAAAAAAAAGAAGATTGTCCAATGACTCACATCCATTGTCTGGACACTCTCAACGGGATTAGGTTCCGGCTTTCCAGCAAACTTGGCTAGAATCAATGTTTGCAATTTTTTGCAAAATGTGCCTCCATGCTATGAGTTCTTTATTCTAAAGCATGCACACCGTTGTTAGTCCAACAATCTTACAGGTCACCCTAAAGGAGTTTTTTGGGTTCGTTGCACGGCATGCCCAGAGCCATCGGTTGATCCAACGTGCAATACATTTGGGTTGGCTCCAGCCAACACCTCGACGAATCATACAACCCCTTGGGCCTCGACAGTTGCCTGTGATGCCTCCAGTCTTCTGTAAGCACCGTAGATCTTTTCCTCTATTTTTCAGGTTGATGTGTATAATATCAATCATGTCATGATTATGATTTTCTAATAAATGGTCGAGATATTCTGCCAGCAGCAATATAAATATCGTATATATACTCAACGGCTCACACGATATTCGACAGGTCACAGTCATATGTCCATATCTTCATACTGTAATGCTGCCAGTGATACGAATAAATGGCACCAATTTATTTCCTTCCTGTGTAGAGAATTCGACAATCAGAAATGAATAAATCAAAATCACATTTTTATAGTAAGCATTAATGCGAAGATTGAATATTTGCTATAGTAAATACGACGACCCGCTCCCGTCTTTCAAATACGCATGCTCATCGCTATATATAGACGCGCTCTCCGACTGCCACAATAGCAATACCACCACCACCACCACTCTCAAATCTTATCGCCATGGCGACTTCTCTGTCGCCAACCGCTGTGGTGATGGCTCTGGTGCTGGCCACGCTGGCCGCGCTCTCCTTGGCGCACAAGGAGCACCAGCACGCGCCGGCTCAAGCACCAAGCCCCACTCACCATCATGGCCATCTTGCCCCGGCGCCAAGCCATCATCGCCATCACGGGCCAGCGCCGGCGCCTGCTCCCGCCCACGCGGGACACCACCAACATCACCATGCTCCGGCCCACTCGTCGGGCCACCACCATCATCACCATGCTCCGGCCCACTCACCGAGCCACCACCACCATCACCAAGCTCCGTCTCCATCATCGATCCACCACCATCATCACCACAGTCCCGCACCGTCGCCGATCCATCACCATCATCACCATGCTCCGGCACCATCGTCGGTCCACCACCATCGTCACCACGCTCCAGCGTCGTCCCCAGTCCACCTCGACGCCAAGGAGCTAGACACTTAGAGTTATACGATTTCCTATGTATATCTTCATCTTATTTCCCCCGGGGAAGTGTTTAATAAAAGGACCATTTGACGGAAGCTCAAATCTCATATTTTCTTCAAAAACGTTAATGGTAGGTTTAATGGTCCTTAAGAACAGCCTACCTAGTGTGGTTGGTGCAATGGGATGTTTAGGCATAACAATAATGAGATGGCAATCATTAATTTAGGTAGGATTTGCCATATTCAACTTAATTTCAGTAGTAACAAACGAACCAAGATTGAGATTATCATAAACGGATTTGGGGATAGTACAAAAACAAACACCTAGATCACATAAAGCACTGAACCTAGATCACTTGTTGTCTCGAATATATCCTCTTGTTTGGTCAGAAGCTAACCATATAGCTTTTTATTTTTAGCATCCAATTCACGTACCTTATATGCAACTTGATCAACAAAGTGTTTTTACGCCTCGTCGTTTGATACGTCGGGGAGCAGATGCTTGAGAGTCAACATCTTTACAAAGTTTGTTCCAAAATATGAAGGTTCTGATATTAACACTTGCCGAGCTCCTAGAAAATTCTTCGCTATTTCTCATCATCTTGACACCCTCAACTGGATTAGGTTCCGTCTTCCCAGCAAACTTGGCTAGAATCACTCTTTGGCTCTCTGCAGTTTTAGCAACACGTGCTTCCATGCTACAAGTCATTTATTCTACAACACGCATATCGTTAGTGAGTCCAACAATCCTATCGGCCATTTGACCGAGTAAGCCATCACGATTCTTTAAGATTTTAGTAAATGTTTTTTCCAGCTCATTTTGAGTAGTTCTAAAGTTTTTAGAGTTCCGTCAAAGAACTTCTATTACCATTGCTCGTTCCAATTAAATTATTAGGTGCTCCATTATTAATTGGATACCGGGCTTAGGAGCATACCCAAGATTTTTTCATCTAGAATTATAGTTGTTGCAAACAATAAAGTTACTCCCTCCCTCCATATATATAATGCATGATGCATTTTTGAGGCTAACTTTGACCACATTCTAGAGCAATAAGATATGACATGCAAGTTACACAAAGCACACTGTCGGTGTCAAAACCGGCGGATCTCGGGTAGGGGGTCCCGAACTGTGCGTCTAGGCCGGATGGTAACAGGAGGCAAGGAACACGATGTATTACCCAGGTTCGGGCCCTCTTGATGGAGGTAAAACCCTACGTCCTGCTTGATTAATATTGATGATATGGGTATTACAAGAGTAGATCTACCACGAGATCAAGGAGGCTAAACCCTAGAAGTTAGTCTATGGTATGATTGTTGTATGATGAAGTTGTCCTACGGATTAAAACCCTCCGGTTTATATAGACACCGGAGAGGGTTAGGGTTACACAAAGTCGGTTACAATGGTAGGAGATCTTGAATATCCGCATCGCCAAGCTTGCCTTCCACGCCAAGGAAAGTCCCATCCGGACACGGGACGAAGTCTTCAATCTTGTATCTTCGTAGTCCTGGAGTCCAACTGAAGGTATAGCCCGGCTACCCGAACACCCCTAATCCAGGACTCCCTCACACACCGTCAAATTAGCATGTGGAATGAGCTTCTAATGATATAATTTTCACATTATACATCTCATATATTATTAATCTTATAAATACTCAAAGGAAAACCTTGAAAAATGTATTAGGCCTTATATATATGGATGGAGGGAGTAACATCATTAACATTGGTATTGGTAATGGAATTCACATTTATCTCTTCTTTACCTCTTATGGTGTTGATTAATTCATCGATCCTTGGTGTCCAACTCTTCATTTTTCTCTTCGGAGATAGAACTAACCTTTCTTGTGGTAGACCTCTCCACATGCCATTGGGAATGGTTCTCTTGCATATCATATAATAATTTCCTGGCCTTCACAGCCGGTCTTCCCATAATGATACCTCCTGCAGCTGTAACAAGAATAATTTTTGACATGGGATTAAGAGCACTATAAATATATGAAGAATCATTCTTCCATCCCATGGACGGGGAAATTTCTTATAGCCTCCTTCATGCGGTCCCATGCAAGCACTAGTGGCTCGCGGTATTCGTGCTTAAAACCTATGATCTGAGATAGAGTTGCATAATTTTTGCAGGGGACAAATCTTAGATAAAAACATGCTATAACACAAACTCCATGAGGTTCTAGTTCCTCTAGGAAAAGCTAGAATCCATTCCTTTTCTTTTCCTCTCAAAGAGAAAGGAAATAGACATAGCTTCAAAGGGTCTGGTTCACAGTCTTTTATACGTGTCATATCACATAGTTAGGTAAAAGTGTGTAAAAGCATGGTGGCATCCTCTGATGCAGAGCCTCGAAATTAGTTTTCTTGAACCATAGTGACTAAGCGGGGCTTAATTTAAAATTGATACATGCACCCTATTTTGGTGGAGAGTGCTTCTCGACATCCTTCCAGATTTTTGCACATTGAAATACCACCATATCAAAGAAATAGGACGTTCCAAAGTGTTCCCGGCTATGGATGAAAACTTGATACATGCATTGCATCATTGGTTTGCGAACAGTTTCTAGAATGCAACTCAGCATTGGTTCCAACTAAAAATCCCAAGACGCACCTAGACACGTGGAAAATATATTCTAATGGACCATATGCTCAATGATAGGGATTGGTGTACAATTATCTCCATAATGTACTCGATCTGGCTGTCCAAAAACTGTTGGAGGCATGGTAGTGGGGTGTTCGATCCTCTGTAATAAGTGACATGGGCATAGGAAATTCCGTGTTTGCTTGAATTGTTGGCGGAGCGAAGCAAGTTACCCACTTGCCAATGTTGGGAACACCTGAAGAGGATGGGCGAGGATAAAACTTATGGTCCTAATCACTATGAATTTCAAAGGGTGGTTCTCGCGGTGTGGCTAGATAACATGTGAGCTTTGCTAGTGCTTGGTGCAAATCTCTGCCAAGTGTGGCTAATCCTCTTATTGTCGAGATGCTAGGTATTTATGAATGTGATAGTTTTGCTCATCTTTGAGGCCTCTCTCACGTCACCATGCAGGAGGACTGTCTAGATGTTGTTAACCTCTACACCTCGCATGGAAGTTCCTACTCTCTTAAAACACCTCATCATTGTCATCATTTGTTGGTGCATATAATGACACATGCTCCTCAAGGATATCAAAGAAGCGAACCTTTTTCAAGTAGAAAAACATCTCACTCCATAACTAAATTAGAGTTTGATCTTTTATGTTTGTGTTGTCTTTTTGTAGCCATTGAGCAAAGATAGGTTGTAATTGTATGGCGGTACAAAAACGGGTCTTGTGGACGGCCTAAAGAAAGCATGGTATAATTATGAATGTACAAGACACAAATGTGAAACCAAGAAATATTCATACCCAGATAAGGTGGGATATGATTGCATCACAACGACGAGAGTTAAACTCGTATCTTGTCATTGGCAAGGAGATGTTTTACCATTGAACTATGCTCTCTATGGAATATATTCTACAGCATATATCCGCGTGGATTGCCGTCTATGTATGGGTCGACCATTTCATTTCATTTTCTGCTAAATTAGAGTTTGTGGATGGAATCCCCCAAGAAGATTTGGTAACTTGCAGTTACCGCTCCTTGAGCGGTACCAAATAAATGGTTACTCGAATCAAGGTTTTGGGCATAAAGAATCCATGTGTTTCTTCTTGGCATACCTAATTTCATGACCAGTCTAAAGCACCTATTCCTTTTTTCGCCTAGCATATTAGGAGAAGTGCAAACAACTCAGCAGATGAATGTACTAAGCTTGCTTCCACCCTTGACTTATTTGGGAGCTGGGTCGAGAAACATCCTAAGTTAATAGCGAACTGCCCTACAGGTTGATTTCAGATCCTTAATCAATTAAACCCTGTTTCAATGCCAAAAAAGACAAAGGAGTATAAAAGTATAAAGTGGAAGATTGATGTGACGTTTGTGTGTTGTTTAATCCGCCCGCACATCTCATCTATATATGAGGCAGATGGAATTCCCATACAATAAAAATAGTCCAACTCATGTTCAAAGTGTCAAAATTTGACCTAACTCGGAGTCACCATGAGCGCTGGCACATAGTCTATAGCTCCTGGCGTTTAGGGTGATACAGTATCGTGTGTATATCTTCATCTTCTTTTTCCTGGGGAAATGTTTAATAAACAGATCCTTTGATGAAAGATCAAATCTGACATTTCCATAAAAAACATTAATGCTAGCTTTAATGGTCCTTACGAATGGCCTACCTAATTTGATTGGTGCAATGGAGATCTTCACGCATAAAAATAATGACAAGGCCAATCATAACAGGGAAATCATTAATTTAAATGACTACACCATGATTAATTATGGCACCCTGGCTCAGAGGGACCGAAACACCCTGTATTCCAGCCTAGAGATCAAGTCTTCTAGAATACGACACTGCTTGGTATAGAACACATTGGCTCTTATTACAAAGGATAAGGGCACAAAGGACCCGATGTTACAGAGGATTACATCGACACAACGACACTATGCCTGCTAAGGTAGCTCTAAGCTAGCAGCGGAACAACTCGTAGCAGCGGAATAACTTCTAGAAGCGGAACAACAATGACGGTGATGAACTCCACTCCACAGGGACTCTGGTTGGGACACAATTTAGCTCGCACGCTCGGTATCCTTGACAGGAAATCAATTACCGCATCACCTGCAACTGGCATGACATGCAAGGTGAGTACTTTGAATGTACTCGCAAGCTCACAACAACCAAAAGCATCAAGAGAAGACAACAACATAGCATTAAAAGGTTAAATTATTAACACTACTATGATGAGGAAGCAACTACTAAGCATGATATGGTAATGCTAGAATAACTGGTGAACCATTTCACTCTTGGCTATCTGGTATGACTCCAACGTATCTATAATTTATGAAGTAGTCATGCCAATA